CATTAATATATTTTTCTCTTTCTGACTTACTTCACTCTGTATGACAGTCTCTAGGTCCATCTACATCTCTGCAAATGACACCTTTTTGTTCCTTTTTATGGCTGAGTAATATTCCATTGTATATATGTGCAACATCTTCTTTATCAATTCATCTGTTGATGGACATTTAGGTTGCTTCTATGTCCTGGCAATTGTAAATACTGTTGCAATGAACATTGGGATGCATGTGTCTTTTTGAGTTATGGTTTTCTCTGGGTATATGCCAGTAGTGGGATTGCTGGGTCATATGGTAGTTCTATTTTTAGTTTAAGGAAACTCCATACTGTTCTCCATAGTGGCTGTATCAATTTACATTCCCAACAACAGTGCAAGAGGGTTCCCTTTTCTCCATACCCTCTCCAGCATTTATTGTTTGTAGATTTTTTGACGATGGCCATTCTGATTGGTGTGAGGTGATACCTCATTGTAGTTTTGATTTGCATTTCTCTAATAATTAGTGATGTTGAGCAGCTTTCCATGTGCCTCTTGGCCATCTGTATGTCTTCTTTGGAGAAATGTCTATTTACGTCTTCTGCCCATTTTTTGATTGGGTTGTTTTTTTGGGTTTTTTTTGCGGTATGCGGGCCTCTCACTGTTGTGGCCTCTCCCGTTGCAGAGCACAGGTTGCGGAGGCGCAGGCTCAGCGGCCATGACTCACGGGCCTAGCCACTCCACGGCATGTGTGATCTTCCCGGACTGGGGCATGAACCTGTGTCCCCTGCATCAGCAGGCGGACTCTCAACCACTGTGCCACCAGGGAAGCCCTGTTTGTTTTTTAATATTGAGCTGCCAGAGCTGTTTATATATTTTGGAGATTAATCCTTTGTCCGTTTATTCATTTGCAAATATTTTCTCCCATTCTGAGGGTTGTTTCTTCGTCTTGTTTACGGTTTCCTTTGCTGTGAAAAAGCTTTGAAGTTTCATTAGGTGCCATTCGTTTATTTTTGTTTTTATTTCCATTTCTCTAGGAGGTGGGTCAAAAAGGATCTTGCTGTGATTTATGTCATAGAGTGTTCTGCCTATGTTTTCCTCTAAGAGTTTTATAGTGTCTGGCCTCACATTTAGGTCTTTAATCCATTTTGAGGTTATTTTTGTGTATGGCGTTAGGGAGTGTTCTACTTTCATCATCCAATCTATTCTTGAACATACTCCAACCCAGCTAAGCTGACATGTTGCAGAATGTATGTCTCCCTGTGACTGCCTTGTACTGATTTTTGTATACATCAGTGACAGTGAGATGTGCACAATTTGCTAGTAGCTATCAAAATATTAAAGCACATACCACCTGACCAGCAGAAATACTAACAAAAGTGTATTTTAGTAAGTGTTCTCACTGACACAAACTGTCCAAGCAAATTGGATGATCATTGTGGTCACTGTGGAGATACTGTAGGGGGCACTGTTGCATCAAATGGGAGAGTGGACTTGAGAGCTCAAAATTCTTATAAGCTCTTTTGTTTAGCTATAGGAATAGAAGGGAGCAGTCTTTCTGGTCTCACTTTATTTTACTTGTCTTTCCCTAGGCAAATGCTACCTATTTCTATGGAAGGAATCAAGATCAAGTGAGCAACAGGAGCCTTCACATAAACCCTGAAGTGTTTGGGGCCACCTATTATGATTATGCTGGGGAGGAATGAATTCATCATGCCTCCCACTTATACTGCATTTAAGAGTTCACATAATTCTGCAGTTACAAAGCCTACAGAGCCTGATAAAAGGAGCAATTGTAACAACAGGCACCACCACTGGTGCTGTGCATATGACTGCAACCATGTTTGCAGACTCAAAAGAGAAACACAGCCCCAGCAGGAGCAGCCTTCCTAGATCCAGGAGGAAGTACAGTCAGCATGGTCATAGTGGTTGCTTTCAACATGTCTTAATATTGTTGTTAGCAAGGACTGCAAGTCCTCTTGTCCTCAGAGGGTACTTCTAGCCCATCAATAAGAGCTGTTGGCATCTCCCCATGGTGCAGCATGAGTATGGTGATTGCAGGAGCAGAGACTGCTGGCAAGCATGTTGCAAAACAGCTAAAGACTTAGTATCCAGACCCCTCAGCTCAACCTTACCGAGTGAAGGCTACATGAGTGAACAGGATGGTGAACAGAGGGTCTCCACCCATCAGGACTGACTCTTTAGGAAAGAGCCTCAAAGCCCTGCACTGCACATGGTGCAGAGGTGGACATTTCATCTAAGATGGTGGAGGAAAGCAATATCATCCACCATACAACTCAACTCAAATTCTCTGCTCTAATAACATGCTCTATTAACAGGAAAGGGTAGTAATAAAACTAAATAGGGATTTACAATCAGGCTCTGAACTATCTGTAACCTTCCCTTCACTTGATATTGTGATTAAATGAACAGATGACAGAATAAAATGCTAAAGATTACTCTCAAAGATCCCGATCCATCTATGATCTACATTTATTAGCCAAAGAAAATTCTAAAACTTCCAAAATACATAACCAGGGACAGAAGCAACCAATAGGAGGCAGGACAAGGTAAATTAAGCCTAGAAAGCAACATGACATCAAAGTTTTAAACTATAAATGTATTAAGCTATACTAGTGTGCCAACCATTGCACATTAATTTTGTTGTGAAATATAATAAAGTATTTTTATAGTTTTGCACCATCACACATTAAACATTTTATTGTAATTATATATATATATGGATGTGTGTGTGTGTATATATATATATATATATATATACACACACACACACACATATAAATGTTAAAGGGGAGCTCATCACAAATTGAGAACATTAGTAAAAGAAGGCTAGAAGAGAACGCTGGTAAAAGAATTCTACTTTTGATTTGTTAGATTGAAGACATTAAAAAAAAACATACTGCATCTCAAGTAAATTTATAGATTTAATGCAGTAACAATTAAAATCCCAATAAGAATACTTTTTAAACTTGACATAGTAATTATAAAATATAAATTTAAAGAGCAGACAATGTCAGTTAATAGTTTTAATACAATAATGATTTCTCCTGCCATATATATGTACAAATATCGAAAGGGGGGTCATTGTTTTTAAAAATAGGAAAATTAAGAGGTTCAGAAGAAACCCCACGCCAAACAGGATGAAATATAATGAAAGTAATGGGAGTTATTGCCAAATGGAAAGTCATAGAAAAACCATATATCAACAAGTTAAAAACAAATATAGAGCCATATTTGAAATTTGTTAAAAGGAATTCTGGATGAAATGGATCAAAAAAATAAGACCAAGAAGTTTAATGAATTTGATAGTTTAAAAAACTACACAACATACGCTCATACAATATTAAGAAAAAAAGAAAAGCTGCAGGCTGGGAAACATTTTATGGTAAATGTAACTACTAAAATAGTAATACTCAATACCTATTGGAGCAATGCAAGTCTCCACAGAAAAATAGTCAAAGAAAAATATTTTAAAATTGTAAACCAAAAGCAAGTTACTACCAAGCCTACTACCAAACCTAATAAAACAAAATAAATTAAAATTAAAAAAATAAAAGTAAATGTTAGTAAGGTAATGGAGAACCCAGATACAGCCATATATTACTGATAGCTTAGAGCCCTACTACTTTATAAGAATTCTACTTTTAAAATAAAAAATACAAAGGTGTTAATTTTATAAAACAAAAAAATAGGTAAAAACATTCAATTATTGGTAAATTGTTAAGCAGATAAGAGAATATTAATAAAATTAAAACCTATGTTTCTTAATTTCCTTTCTCGTACACCCTTCTGTATATGAGGTAAAACTCTACACGTAAAAACTTTAAGTGAAGAAATGAAACCCTACAGAACATACACATTTGTTTATTATTTAATTCAACTACTACTTAATTCTGACAACATGCCAGGAACAATGTTGGCATTAGATCGGAGACACCAAGCAACACATAGTCTCTACCTTTATGGATCTCATAGCCCAGTATATACTGATAATAATTCTTTAATGGTTAGTATAAATTGTCATAAAGTTCTATAAATAGTTCACATTAAGGTGAAGAGTTTCTTTAAGTACTATATGCTGATTTGATTATCCCAGTTAGTGTGCTACAATAAATTTATATTGTAATTTGGGTGGCTGTGATCAAATTATGACATACATGTAAAAACATGTAATGGTTTCTTAGACAAAACTGTTTCATATTTGTTGCAAAACAGAAAATAATATTTTTGAGATGTGATGAGTTATTTTCTGTCCTAGATTATTTTTGCACTCATGTTCTACGTGGCTACATATACATACCTTTGCCATTACACTGTTTTTCATATTAAGTGCTTTTTCGTCTTCATGTAGAGATATTTTCTTTGTGGCTTCACATTTCCTAATTCTGTTTGGCTTATTTTATTTATTTCTGAAACTCCTCTAAGGGCTCGCAGACCACAATACACAACAAAAATTTGAAGGTGACACAATAGAATTAAAAGTGACTTAATGAGTAGTGAAATGATTTCAAAATTGTAAATGATGTTTTAGTGTTCTGGTCTCATTTTTGAATTGTAGTGCATAATCTTCAGTGGCACACATTATTCTATGATATTCCATTGTGCTAAGAAAAATAATCACTGCTGCTTTTAAAGAGCTTTCATATGCTTCCTTTTAAATCATTTTTATTATTATTTAAATATAAATTGTGATTTAATTTCAAAATAGCATTTTTTAATGAAGTATTTCCAAATCATAAGATACTAAAACTTCATAAACAACTCAATTTTTCTGGAACTAGCATCATGACAAAAATAAAACAAGCACAAAAATTTATATAGACTATGTTTTTGCATATGCATACATGTACAGCTAATTACATAAGCATTTTACTGACCTTCAACTGAAGAAAAATTACGAAGTGAAGAAGACACTAATTGGATTTGCAGAGGGGAAGAAAAGAAATTTACTTAAAAACATAGGCAACCATTTTTATGTTTTATTGTACCTTAAGAAAGCAAACCATTACCTGTGCAAGAATGGGGAAGCCAAGGTTCCTACAGCCATTACAAGGAGTTAATGCTTCCCAGAGTCCTGAGGGCCCACAAGTGTTTTCATCATCATCTTCTTCTTCCACTTCTCCTGGTGACAAATTTATTGTAGATGAAGTTCTCTGAAATTAAATTTATATGTCTATATTAATTATATCAATGTATATATTATATCAGTGTCATTTAGATATCTTAACATCAATTAAATTACATAAATTTCTTATGGTGTATGTTAGCAAGCAGAAGTCAGCTTAATTCTAGCCATAGTTATGTGGCTGTGCCACGTGAATCAGCCAGAAAGCATGTATAATTCAACTCGAAGTTGAAAGTGAAAGAAAACTGAAAGTGAAAAAGCTGGATGAAAAAGACTGGTAAATTACAAAGTTTGTATTGAAGAACAGGACATGGAAATGACCCAAGAAAATACAGGAATAGCAACAAATGAGAAAAATATTATGATTTCTAATGCAATCAGAGAAATAGCATGAAAATACTTTATTGAAACAGGAATTGATAAAAAGCCCATTTTTCACTATCACCAAAATGATAGTCTCCTTTCTGAAAAAACATGAGCTTCATAAAATTTTATGTTATACATATAAGAGGGGTAATACTTTTAAAATTAATAATAGGACTTCCATGTTAAACATACATATTTACTTTTACTACTTCCCAAATCCCACTTAAATGACAGCAAAACTTTTGTAAAAATGGTCTAAACCATAAGGACAAGGACAACTGGAGGGATGTTAGTAGATGAGCAATATCAAGAAAACGTTTAGATAATGATAAACAGATGATTTATCAAATTAACTTAGCAAACTTGAGAAAACTGAAAACAAAGTGCCTGCAAGGAGGAAGAATAAGAAGCAGATCTATTCATGATTCAACACCCTCAAAAGGGGTTAAGAATTAGAGAGACTGACTACCTGTGAAGGTGTAAGTGCTGGTGGAGCTGAAACAGAATGGAAACTCCACCTCAGCCAGCTGAGAAACTAAACCTTTACCACCTGACAAGAAATTGGAGGTTTACATTCTGATGAGGTTGAAGCAAAGGGATTATGAATTTTAAGAATCTATGTACAATAAGCCGAGGGGTGCCTCGTTAAAAACAATGAAATTAAGTGAACATCTATGTAGTAAATGAAGATTCTCAACCTACCCCAGTGCCTTCCCACATTTGTCTTAGAGAACATGAGAGCTAAGTTCATATCCTCCAGGTAGGATCCAAGAATATATTCCTCTCTGCAAAAATGGACCTCTCAAGAAAAGTGATCTGTACGTATTTAGGAAAATGGTGGGGCATCTATGCCTTAATGCCTACTGTGAAGCCCCCTCTCTACAAACTCCATCCACATAAACAGTTCCTAATTTTTTAGTTAAATATGAACAAAAACACAAGGATCACCACATATTGGAAGAAAACCTTTAAAACAAGGATCCCAACCCCCAGAGACCCCTGTTAGGAACTGGGCCACACAGCAGAAGGTAAGTGAGCGAAGCTTCATCTGCCGCTCCCCATCACTCGCATTACCGCCTGAACCATCCCCCTCCCCCCATCTGTGGAAAAACTGTCTTCCATGAAACCAGTCCCTGGTGCCAAAAAGGTTGGGAACTGCTGCTTTAACAGAACAACATAAATATACAGAAAAAAGTTATAAATAATATCTGCAGAGAGATAGAAGATATTTGCATCCCTAAAACAAGAACAGAATGCTACAAAACAAATAAATGCATAAAATCCAATAGAACTGCTGGAAAATAAGTCACAGCAAATTTCCCAGAGGACAGAACAAAAGATCAAAAGACATTAAAAGTTAAGAAAATTAGGGGATCAAACGAAGAATGCTTCATGTAAAGGTGAGAAGAAGTTGTCAGAGTACAAATGCAAGAAATTTTGTCAGAACTGAAGAAAAATTCCACATTCAAAGAGCCTGCTGAATACTCAGCAGACTGAATTTTTTTAAAAAACTGGAAAGACAGTAAGTTTGTCTAAAAATATTCAGAATGTAGTGTTCAGTGTACAACATTGATAGATCATGATTACTGAAGTTAGTAAAGATAGTTTACATTCTGAATTATAAATAGCACCCACCTCCCCCCAAAAGCTGTTACTTTTAAAAACAGAAAATAAGACTTCATAAAATGACTGATTTTTATATTCACATCTTAAATTTCCCTTTATCAATTTTCAATAACTGAGAAATTATGAACTTCAGTAGTCCTTCAATCAGTTACTGTCTGTAAGATACAATAATAACAATAGCTACAATCTATTGAACACTCTATTATTCATTATTTTAATTCACACAATGCTTTTAGGCCAATACTAAACTAAGGCACAGAGAAGTCAAGTAAAACCCAAGGTCAAGAGCTGGTAAGTGACAGAAAAAGGATTCTAATCCACACTACCTGACTCTAGAGCATGTATATGTTTGATCAATGCTGTCTACAAAAATGAACAGAATGATCAAATGGGCATCTCCTTCACCAACTAATGATCAGTCACTGGTCTGACCATCATGGTTGACACGTACGGCTCTATAAATGATTACATACTTGGCTAAGAATTATCAACATTTTATAGATTAATCAGTTTTCTTCCTCTGTCTCTTTCTCCTCCACAAAGAAAAACTCTGCTTATGTCTCTCCCCAGCTCATAAATCTCCAATTATTTCCCACTGCACAGCAAATAATATCAAAATTCCTTAATATGGCTCAAGGTTTCATGATCAAACTATTTTTCAGTTCTTTTTCTTACTCTATTTTACTCACCCCAGACTATACCCAAATGGAATTGTTTACCCTTTCCTAATCTGTTCCATGTTTTGTTCATGCCCCCACCTCACTTCTCCATATAGCTATTGTACTGGTTAAGAGTTTAGGCTCTAAAATTAGTCCTGGATTCAAGTTCTAACTCTCTTACTTATTAGCCTACTTAGTAGTGTAATTTTCATCAGATATGACCACTGTCCCCCTCACTTACCTCACCTATGCAGTGGGAAAATAGTACAGTAGTACCTCCCTCAGAATTTTTTCCTGATAATAAGGTAATGAATATAAAGTGCCTGAAACATAGTAAGGTTTCAGTAAATATTAACTACTGTCTTTAGCTATTATTCTCTTATAATCCCATTGATTCCTCAAAATACAGTTCAGATTTCACCTCTTACGTATATTTTCCAGATTTCCCACAAATAGAAATGATGTTGCTCTCTTCTGAACGTCTATAGCTCTTTCTGAGAGTTTGTGTATTGTGTTATTTCACACACACTTTGAGATAATAGACTGCATCATCTCTCTGGCAAAGAGCAAAAGCCTTGAAGTCAAACAAACATACATTTAAGATATACAAACAGATATACATTCCTGGCTCTGCCACGTGCAAGTTGTGTGACTGAGCAAATCACATAATCTTACTAATCCTCAGTTTCCTCATCTGCAAAGCAGGCATAATAACAGTTCTTACTTGATAGGGCTGTATGTGGATAAAATTAGTTGCTTGACAGCAACTGGTTCATAAAAAATAAACAATAAATGTTGCTTTTTTTAATTAAACTTTATCCTGAAAGAGTTTTATACACACACACACACACACACACACTCACACACATACATACTCAACTTACTTATCCAACTTAATTGTAAGTTATCTGAAAGTAAACATGCCTTATTCACATTTGTATCTCTTATAATGTGTTGTGCATAATGTAATGTAATAATTATTTATTAAATAAATCATTAAATGAATTTCAAACTAACATTTTCATCTGACTACCTAAAAAATTTTACTAACATTAAGAGGTGTATATAATTGCATCACAAATCTCATTATTCTTATTTTAGTTTTATTTTATATTAACCATTGCCAATAGCATTAGCAGAAATAACAAAATTTATCAGTGGTTTAGTACTGCCCCCTAAAGTCAGTATAGATGTTAGCTGTGTACAACCATAGTTCTCCACTTCACTGGTTTACAATAAAAGATGCCTGGGAAAGATTTTATCAAACTAAATTATATATGGGAAAGAAGTTACATAAACACACTTAAGTTCACAGTTTCCTTTATTTCAAATGCCTTTCAAACTTTTTACTGGAGATCCAATTGTGTTCCTAAAGTTCCAGATGCCAGGAAATTCTTCCACAGAACATAAACCTAAATTTTCATAGTTTGGGCCTATTAGCTTTCTGGTTAATGCACAGTAATTATGCAGAAGAAATACTAGACAAGTTCTACATTGTTTCAGAGGATAAAAGTCATAATACATAAATACTGTGGGGAGACAAATTTGAGCTCAATCAACGAAAAATACTTCTAGAATAATTACATCAGTCTAACATTGAAGAAATGGAATTTCCTTGTGATGTAAGATATATATATATATTATGTATATAAGAAATATATATAATATTAAAATTGTTACACAAAAATGTTTTATGTAAATATTTTAATTACACATATTATAATTGTATAATTATACACAATATATTATATCATTTTCACATATTTTATGTTAAACATAATTATGTTTATATAATAACTATATATAGCATATAACAACTATGCTATATGTTACATATAAAAACATAATTATATAATAATTATATATGGTTTATAGTTCAGAAAATGTTTTCAGATATGGAATAGCCCAATAAAGTAGGATAGGAGTTATCCCTATTTACAAGTGAAGAAACTAAGGTTCACAATGTTACTCAATTTGCAAGGTCATCCTACAAATGACGGCAGATTATAATACAAGTCCTCTGACTCTGGGTCCTATAATCTTTCTATAACACTACTAATTAGAAGGAAGTTTCTAATTACTAGAGCTCTTCAAAGGGACAAGAAATATTCAACATATTCAGAATATCGCAAAGGAATTTCTGTGTTATGTTACACTTTGTAATTGATGGCCTTTAAACTCTTTTTTTTTTTAACTCTAAAATTCTGTAAGTCTAAGCAGCTAAAGTGTATACAGTTCAGTAAAAGGATCAAGGACCAGGTATGATCCAACAGAGCCTCTTTAATCCTCTTTGCTCAACTCCTGAATGCATGTCTTTAGAAACATAGTGACGGTAGGAAAAGGGAAAATCCAAGGATGCCCATGTCCTGTCCAAAAG